ACTGCCTTGTGAACTAGGCCAGGCCTCTTCCTTGCTCTGCAAGTTTGCCATCTGACAGTGTGCCAGGCCCCGAGGAGACGCAGCATGTATGCGCGTCCTCCTGAGGCTGTTCCAGGGATTGTTAGGAAGTGAGTCCTCGTGAAATTGTCTTTTCTGAGGGCAGTGACTCACCTCAGTAGCACAATGTAAAGCAAAGCCCACAGCTTGGCTATAAGGAGGGGCATGAACACTCCAGATGGGTTTTCTCTCCAAGACACACACTTCCAGAAATCTTGGATTCTTCACCATATGCAACAAGTGGACCCCGATGGGAACTAATTCTTCCTCCACATGTCTTGTTCTTACGCCAGAGTGTACATACACACACTTTATGGGCAACTGAGTTTTGGGGAAATTAAGAGACCACATGTGGGCTAGGTTTGAGCTCAGAAAGAATGTCCTTGTTTGATCAGACCGTATCTTCTAGGAAAAACAGGAAGTCTGAAGAGAATAGATGAGAACCCAGCTGTTAGCAAATGGGAAATTGGTTTAAGTGTTGAGAAAAGACCAATTTTTATTGTTGTCAGTGGTGTCTCTCTCATCATCTCCACTCACAATCACCCCACTGACACTCACTACCACTACGCCCACGACCCCCTCCCCCACCAAGCCAAAGAGTATCCTTGCTCCTCTACTATAGTGACAGCTACTTGGAAGAAGAAGCTGAATTTGATGATAGGATACAGACATCCAGCTGGGTACAAAAGGTCCCCGAAGCCCCATTGTGTGGAGAGAAACCCGATACAGAAAGGTTACTTCCAGTTAACACCCGAAATCTCCTCGTGTCCTAATAGAAATGGGGAGAAGCACAGTGGTACTCAGCATTTTGAAGAGCCAACCAAAGCGTTCAAGCTCTTAACGTGATCTCCTGGTCTGGGCCATTTAAGGGTTGACTACACCCTGGTGTGGAGGAGAAACAGGTGAACACATTCTGCAAGGGCATGACTTCCACAGACCACGCCTCTCGCTCAGAGGTAGGAAGGGATGCTGCCTGCCTCCTCATGCCCAGAATGTATGAATGAACTTCAGAGAAGGAGGTGAACCTGGGGTATGAGCCAGGCATTATCACCAGGAAAAGGCGGACCATTTCCCTCTCTCTCCACCCTCCCTTCCTCTCCCTGATGATACTGTTCAGAAGTGAATTATGATTTAATCCCTTCTGCTGTTCAGCGTGTTACAAAATGTGGGTTGCAATGTTAAGAAACATTTAAGTAAAAGAGAAAGAAAGAGAAAAAAGAGAGGAAGGAAGGAAGGAAGAAAAAAATGAAAGGAAGAAAATGTTATAGCCAATGACACAACTCATTACCACCGCAGAAGATGAATAGGAGGGGCAGTCCTTGCCTGTGTACACAATGAGATGCAGTTGATTAACACGGACCATTTCTGTATGTAATGAATGTGGCACGTGCTTTCACAGTCATGCAGTGTTGGAAGCCAGGCATCGGGGGAGAAAGGATAGTTCCAGTCACGTGCTTCTTGATTTCTTTATCTCGGGGTCATCAGATCAAAGCCCGGTTGCCTCAAAGTGCTCAGTGATCCGTGGGAAATGAATCATGTCTTCATTCCAGGGCTTAATATATGCATTACATCACTATTAGAAGCGAGCCACTCTGCGGTTGTTGGCTTCCACATGGATTAAGGTCAAAAGTGGCCCTGGAGACCGAATTCCCTAGTGAGGGTTTGCCACGCAGCTCCATGAGGCCTTTGCTTCGGAATTCTCTCTTCTCCTAGCAACAACTACTGAACACCACGCTCCCCAGGCTGGTCTTATGTCTACATAAGGGTTGCTCTTGTAGCAAAGAGCCTGATAAAATGCAAGCGAGAATCTGTGATTATGGGTTCAATTGTGTCACACTGAACTTGTAGTGAGGGTCCAGCTTTTTTATTAGGTTCCAATTTCGTTGCAATCACTACTGCTTGAAATAAATGGGCAATTGACAGGAGCTTAGAGATAACAGTGATGCTTAAGTGATTTTTATAGTAGCAGTGCTTGTTGTAACAGAAGTTGACCTGCATTCTGGTTATTATTTTTATTCTTCGAGTTGGAAACTCGGCACTCCCATTGTTCGTGCCATTATAGGCGGAGTGCTGTAGCGTGAAAGTCACTTAGAAAGCTATAGGGGGGAAATCTAAACACAAGAGGCTCATAAATAAAACTTCAGGTAGGGGGAAGGGTTTTGTTTGGTTTTGTTTAGCTAAATGTTCTAGGTGGCCAAAGTTTATTCCTTTCAATCCCTAACGTGTTTGTTTTCCACTTGTGGTAGAAATACGTCTAAAATGTTTGATATGCAAAACTTGTCTTGAGTCTAACGGTAGTTTCTTTAGATGAGAGGCTCAGGGTCATCACTCTGAATACAATCCTACTGGCCTATGATCGGCCTGTGATCGGAGGCTGTAGGGGATGGAGGTGTGTATAGAGCTGGTTTGGCCCTGAATCCTTGCCCCAAACGCTGCTTCCTGAGCTCTGGGTCTACCGCAGATTGTTTATCTTCTCTATGGCGGTGCTTTTCCTTTCTTGACCTAAGTTCCCTCTAGCAGTCTGTTTCTCACCCTTTATCTGCTGTAGATTGGAAACCAGACATCAAACATCTAGAATTATGTGAGAAATAGGAATGACTAGGTTCTAAGTGGGTGCTATACGGGTTGAGGTACGACCTTTCTCTTATACTTTTGCTTCCTAACATTCCTTTCTCCTGTCAGAAGCTTGTTAGCGTGGTTCCTCATTCTGCCACTTTTGAATGGACCCAGCAGAGGTTCTAGATTTTTCTGGTTCTGTCTCGGTGATTGTCAAACCACCTGTCTGGATTCCATGTTCAGAAAGTAGAGGTAGGTGAAGCTGATAGCGGGGTGAGCCCCGGGTAAAGAAGTTGGCGTGAGTGTGTGGGCCATTTGTGTAAGGTGAATAGGTCACAGTGGCCCTGATGGCTGAACTCAGTAAATGGACTAAAACAGACAAGCTTCTTCTGCAGTCCCTTTCCCATCATGCAAAGCTGGCCCCGTGTCAAGCTGTTGAGGATGCCTTGGAGATGTTAAATTACAGGCTGAGTGTCAGAGTTGGCTGGCATTTTGGGATTCCAAGGCTATGGCAACTGATACCATGGCTTTGCCTTTCCTGGCAATTTCATTATTTATGACCTTGGACTAACGAAGATAAAGTAAGTCTAATAGCTCCCTCCTTCTAACAGTGCAGTTTCAGGTCAGAAGAGGATTTTACTGTGACCCTCGGCCCTCTTTCCCCCACTGGACACTGTACTTTGTGGAAGTGTCCAAAGAAAAGCTATAAAAGGGACAAATTCCTTCCCCACAAAGCCATGCTATGCCTGTGTGTGGGGGGGGGGGGCAGTGATGTCATTCACCAGTACAAGACGTAGCTAGGAGCCATTAACAGCAGGGGTTGGAGGTCTGCTGGGCCTGGGTTCAAATCCTGCCTTCCCATTTAGTAGGGTGTGACCTTGGGCACAGTATTTAATTCTCTAAATCTGATTCCTGAGCAATGAAGTCAGGGATGGTAATATTAGTGCTGTGAGAATTAACTAAGGCAGTGTGAAAAGCAACTAAATAGTGCCTGGCCCAGAGAAAGGGCTCACTACATGGTAGCTATTATTAACAAAAATAAATGATTTTAACCTGGAGGCTTTAATATTTAACAAGTACAGCTACTCAGCAAGCCAGTTATTAACTTGAGGCAGCCTTTTTTTTTTTCTCCCGTGACATCTTCTTCTCTTATTAAGACTGGCAGGCTAACTTTGAGCTGGGTATTTCTGGTGCCTGTTAAGGCCATGAGATATTCCAGACAAGCTGCTATCTCACCCTTTTAAGAGCGGAACGGAAATGGGCCCACCTCTTCGCTGGACCCAGCAAAGATCAATGAAACGAAGAGTTGTTTGCCTTCAGAGGGAAAGAGAACAAAGTGAGGGGAAGGGCTGGGGCACTGGGATGTGGTGGTGAGATCCTGGCACCAGGAAGTGGGGAAGCAAACCTCCCAACACTTTGTGGTTGATTAAAACTCTGAGACTCCCAAGCGTTCTGGTGCTTCTGGTGCTTGGCAATCCCACCCCGCCAGGCGGAAGTGTCCTCGGCGGCCGGGACAGGGGAAACAGGGCCCAGCGGTGGCTCTGGGAGACAGAGAGGCGGCTGTCCTGGTTCTAGTAAAGTGGCTCCTGGGTGATCTTACGTGACTGACTCTCCCTATCTTGGACAATTCCTTCAAGGTGCATGCAGTCCCCAGCTGACTCCAGAAGTCTGACAGGCACAGGTTTGTCAGAAGAAAATTGAGAACAGGTTCAGAAGCTGCAGCTCCTCCAGACACACCTGCTGATGGGTTTTAGGTTGGATTTTTAAAAATTGAACTTTAATGCCTTCAGGCAGGACTTGCAATTTCTAATTCGCACAGTATCGACTGTCTTGCGTTTCACAGTTTGCCTCTGAGAATCTGACTTGGTTTCAGTGTCAGCTCTGGTCTTGATATTGCAAATTGGACTTGAATTGCTTCATTTACAATGCAGTCCTGTCTCTTCAGCAATGATATCAAATGTGTATTCCACACAGACGATGCTGCTGGCCTAACTGTGATTTCCTGTGTGAAGTGTTTTTTTTTCCCCTCTAGAAAAGATAATAAAAATGAAAGTTTGACCTGCCGCCTGGTTAACATAATTTGTAAAGCATTATTATTTGAAACCCCCACTCAGGACCACGTATTCTTTATGTTAAAATCTCCTCTGCTCAGAAAATGTAACTGAGGCAGAGATCATTTTACTTTGAGAAGAAGCCATGTCAACATCTCGCTACATGGAATAACTTTCAGTCTGCCCTTTGCCACCCTAAACCAATCAGGAGTAAACAGGACTCCCCTACCTGGGGACCAGAATACCGCATCCCCGGCTGGTCCACAGCTGAGAACGCGGACTGTCGTGAATATCACACCCAGTGGGTCCTCTGTGCCCGACTCCGAGAGACAGATGGTATTTCCAGTAATAGTTTATTGATTTCCAAATGCACAGGGGCGCTGAGTCCAAACATCCTGGGATGGCGGTAAATCGCTCTTACAAAATAATTTACAGTATGAAGATGATGTACTGAAACATTAACTCACACGCGTGGTTCCCTAGAAAGATTGAGTGCTCCCTTGTTTAACGTAACAGATCCCCAGAATCGGTTGGCACGCTTCCCTTTTCACTAGACCACCGTGGGGAGGGGATGATGAGTAAGGAGGGATGGAACTGCCCAGGACAACAGGCAGAGGACAGCAGTTCCTGGTCTCCCACCCAGGCAGGAGCGCCTGTCACTGCAGAGAGACCTGTCAGGTTTAACTCCCATTAAGTATGAATCTATTGTCCCCTCAAGGTCACATCACACCCAGCCCGGGCTCTGTGGCACTTTTTTACGCCAGTAGACGGACGACTGTCTGAATTTATTTCCGTTTTCTTGCTCTGATGCATGTGCTGCGGTTTCTGGTGTGTTCTCAGTTCCGAATGGCACTGTTTTACCCGGCAGGCCCCGGAGGGCGGAACTGCCTGGCCTTATGGCACTTGGAATCGGCTGGGGTGGGGGCCGCAGGGAATGCTGGGTACAGACAACACGATGAGGTGTCTCCGCTATGGGCCATCTTTTGCTCTCTGGCCTGGGCCCAGGCCATCCACAATGAGATCATTTGTTCTTTAAACACAAAATCCCACATGTGCTAGGCACACGGGAAACATTGCAACGGATTCTCATCAAAAGGCACGCACTGAGCAGCCATCAGGTGAGCGGGGTGGGGTGGGGTGGGGGGTGTTTCAGGCACGGCAGGAGAATGTTTTCTGGTTGTGAACTCGGCAGCGGTGCCCACAGGCTCAGGGGAGGGGTCAGATCCCCAGGATGGGTCGGCTTCCCCTTTCACTAGACCACGGGAGTAGGGCTGTCACCCGGCTCCATGCTTTAGTTTCTGGCAACCTCTGAGAAAGCTCTCCTCCTGTTAGCAGCCTGTCAGCCCCTAAGCCCTGACATGTCTGGTGACATGTGCAATCAGGGCTGGTGGACGCCTTTGCGGTGGCATGCAGAATAATGAGGGGCTGCTTTGAATTCCCTTTGTCCTTAAATTGTGTGCGTGTACCACGTGTGCGTGTGTGTACATACACATACACTTATCTTTACGTCCACACGCATACCAGGTGTCAGCACGGCTCAGTGCACTGTGAATGACCACCCCTGCCCAGGCACAGACCTGGCGAGGTGACTGAAACACGAAGGCTCCCTTTCTTAACAGCAGACACCCTTCCCCTTCACTGCTCTGAGAAGCTCTATCCTCTTGAAGGCCCAGAAATTCTTTTCTTATGGGGGACGGTTCCTGGGGGCAGGCTTAAATTAGCAATTCTACTTAATGCACCCGCAAGTGGAAAGATAGGCAAGTTTGATGCCTTCTCTGGGCCCAAACCACAGCCACGCAATGTAATTCTGAAAAAGAAGTCATAAAGTGGTGGTCTCACTGCAGGCGGGGGTGGGGGTGGGGCCTCTGCCAGCTTTCCACCTCTGTACTGCGATGGACCATGGGCTGCAAAGTTAGGGAGAGCTGGGCTCAAATCCCGGCTCCAATATCTCCTAGCAGGTCAAGGCAAGTGAGTCTTGCAGTCCCAATCGGCTTCATCATCTGAGAACGGGGGCCTAGTACGGGGCCTGGTCCATAGTTGGTCCCCAGTATAGGTTATTTCCCTTCCTGGTTGTCAGAGCTGAGACTCCAAGCATTTCTTGGAATTGCACTGAATTTAATGACATTAAATAAAAACACCCCACTCCCCCGCCCCGGTCTCCAGACACCGGGTATTTGGAAGGCAGCCAGGCATTGGTGTGGGGACCCAGCTCATCCTGAAGATGCTCACTGGCTGCCTGCCCGCCTGCCCTCTCCTGGGATTTCTGCAGAGCCTGCGGCGGCCAGGACAGGGCTTGGAGCACAGTGTGTAGGACCTGCGGGAGGGGGGCCTCACTACGCGGGGCCCTCAGGGTCCTGCAGCTGCAGCTCTGGGAGGCCAAGGCCGCTACAGGAAGCATCCTCATTCTGATGTTGGCCACGCTGCCGGCAGGAACTCGGGAGCCTGGCAGACGCGGCTGCACTGTTTCAGGCTTCCCTGCTTAAAGTTTTATCAGGTGCTGAGGACAGCAGGAACCCAGAAAGGGAGTCTGACATCCTCTCTAAGGAAAAGCAGAAGTGCTTTCCTCGAGGACTACAGGAAAACGATCACTAATGGAGACAGGCTGGCATGCATCTTCGTATTTCCGCTCACATCCTCTGCATAAATGCTTGGGTTTCCCAAATACTGATGAAAAGTCACACGGGCTCAGTATGAAGAGGCCAGTGATCTGTCCATTGCTAAGACAAGGCTACTATGAGTATGCAGAGATGGGAAAAGAATTATTTCTAAATCTTAATCGTCTAATTTTTAAGCTCTTATTTTAAGACAGGCCATTGGTTCATCTTTAAGGAGCATTTCGTTGGATGGGTTGGGACGGTAATCAGTGTTAGGCAGGATTCTCTGGCCTTTGCAGGCAGACAGGTACAGTGCCATTGTCTTGGCCGTTTGTCGGCTACTAGTTTGAGAGAAAAATACCCTTTCCCCCTCCTTAACAGCCGAAACTCCTCTCACATTTATAAATAAGCCCTGACATATTTAGTGAGCTAGGATAACCCTAACCCAGAGTACACATGCCTGGTAGCCCCCTGGCACCAAAGGAATGGTCAGTGAGTAGCATGCACAAAACTGAACAATGATATACATAGGATTCCTACAGCATGGAAGTATTGTTTCTGGCTCAAAACCATGCTATGCACACAAAAGTCAGCAGGCCCGAAAGCTATGTAATGGGTCCAGGGTCAGGCAGGCAGGCAGCAGGCAGGAAGGTGCCTCAGAGGCACCAGAAGTGTAGGCCCCCGTCAGCAGGAGCCCCAGGGATGCTAGGATCCAGTTCCAGTCGTCCTTCTCAGAAATGAACACCAAAGCGCCACTAAAGGCTAGGAGCGGGAGCACACATCCCACCTGCCAACGAGAATTTCCTGTGGAGGCTCCCATTTTACTTCAACCTCGTTGATGTGTCCAGACACTTGACTTCATGATTTAACTGTTTGTAAAAGTAAGATCACCCCCTGATTCCAAGCTAACGAAGTAAGACATGCTGCAGAAGATGCAGGTGTTTAGCAGCGTGGCATTCCTAGGACATCACTGACCATTTGAGCATGAAAACCTGGCTGTGAGGAGCTGGGATCTGGGAGCATGATGGGTCTGCTCACGTGACTAGAGAGGAGGGTCAGCGGGCAGATGCTGGGGGTAGCTGGCAGGGAGGGCAAGGGTAGAGGGGCTCCGGCTGCCGTGCAGGGAGGGTATCTACTGAGAGACGAAGCTCAGTGCTCCATTCAAAACATCGTGAATGACAAGGACTCTCCCCACACTGCATTTAAGCTACATTAGGCTAAGTGTGTGTGTGTGTGTGTGTGTGTGTGTGTGTGTGTGTGTGTGTGTGTAGGAGGGGGGGGGGAGCGACAGACAAAAACCTACATTGAAAATTTCCACTTGGTAGTACACATCCAGCCTTTCATGTGACAAAATTCATCAGACCTCAGAACTCACCCAGTCATTCAGGTCCATCAGATCCTTCAGTGACTATTTCGGAAACTCAGGCAATTTGAGTTCAGAAAACTGGTTTTCTTGGTCCTCTTTTTTTTTTTTTTTTTTTTTTTTTTTTTTTTTAATGTTATTTCCTTTCTAAGTTTTCGATTTAAAAAAAATTTTTTTTTTCATTTCCACAGCACTGGATTATGAATCTGAAGTCCTGGATAACCTCATGTGCTAAAAATATCTCTATAGATGTCTGAATGTTAACTCTTTCTCCAGCCCTGTTTTTAAACCACTCATCTTATTTCACAAAACCACCTTTTCACAAATGCACTGGAATTTTAGAGACTAGTTATGTGGGTCCAGCCCTACCCTGCCTCATTTATTTCATGCTTTAATAGGAATAAGGTGCAGGTAGGAAAAACATTCTGATTGCCCTTCGAGGTTATTCCAGAGTCTTCCTAGTGAGGAGGTACATCTGGGTCCCTAAAATTCCAGGGGCTGGCTCCCTGAGCCAGTTCAAAGCAGCCATGGAGGGGCTACCTGAAGGACTGACCTTTCCCAGCTGCTCCTGACTGATCCAAGGGGCGCTCTTCCCTAACCCACCACTACACAGGAATGAGGAGCACACAGTCGGCGAGCATGCGCCTGGCATTCCCGGAGAGCTATGGCCTGCTGAGGGTCTGGGGACGTATGGGTGGAAGGACATTGGTTGCCGGGCAGCTTTCACAGAGTCAGAAGCCGTTACATTCACGCTGTCACACACACGGGGGGAGGAATGCTTCTCCGCTGGGAATGGCGAGCCTTCATGTGTCCTCTTCGTCACTGGCCCCACTGCAAAGGAAAAGAGAGCCAGGTGAGGCACGACATCACAGCGGGGAGGCGACCGTGGCTGCTGGCTGAAGGCACCGGCTCTGTGGTCAGACCCCAAGTCCCAGTCCTCACCCTGTCACTGCTGGGCGCTGCACGTGGCCACGGGCAAGCTACTTACCTCTCTATGTTCCGATTTATCTGACTACAGGGATCACAGTGATGATAAAACCTACTTTCTGGGTTCTTGGAGGATTAAGTTCGATAAAACACATAACATACATAGGACCACAACAAGTGGACCACTATTTAAACGAGCAGGCGTGGCTCATAATAGTTTAATAAACTTACTTGACAAAATGAATTGCTAGTAAAAATCAGGAGTCTGGCTTCCTCTACGCCTTAAGCCATCTACTATTAGGAAGAAAGACAAAAGGGAGCCTGCATTCTGCTCTCCTCTCACGGAATCCCACCAAGGTTGCAGTTCATGCCACGGGTAGGCCCCGGAAGCAGATGTCACCTCTTCAGAGAAGGTACTGCATCTAAGTAGGACGCCTGGTGATTCTTCATCGCCACCTTATTTCTTTCCTAGCTCTTATCACATCCTATAAAGTATTTGCTATTTACTCTCCCCTGTACCGCCCTGGCATGTAGAAGCATTCAAAAAACAGTTGTTTTTAAAAAGTGAGTGAGAAGTAAACACAACAGGAAGAGAGGGAGTTGAAAGGAACAGTCAGTCAGCCTAGATGTCACTGACACTTTAGTGGCCAAACCATGAGCTGTGTCCAAGAGCATGGCTAGGGGCTCAGCTGCTCAGGGGTGGACCTCCCTGGCTTGATGCTGAGCAAGAACATGGCTGAGACAGGGGCTGGGGCAGGAGTGCAGGGCCAGAAAAAGAAGGGGGACAGGAGCAAGCACACTGAGAAGTGCAAAAGCAGCAAACTTGCCCAGTTCTCCCTCCTGCCCTTCTCGAGGCCACAACCAAAACTGTCACAAGAGCTGATCGAATGGGGCGCCTGTGTGGCGGGGGCACTGAGCCAAGGCTCCTCAACCCGTCACTCCCCTTATGATCCTAGGATGGAGGGGCTGTTATTTTTATTAGCCCTTTTCCCAGCTGGACACGATGGGGCTCTGAGAGATGTAAAATCCTCGGTCACAGAGCAAGGTCTGTGTCCCCTGGATAAAGTCTGAAATAGCCAAGACAGGGAGGTTGGAAGGGAGGTAAAATCTCCTTCCTCGGGTGGGGACGGGCTATGCAAGGAAGAGGATAGGCTTGGGGTGCACCAGCCCGCAGCCATAACCTAGAGAACCTTACCTCATAAGGGACTGTCTGTATCTCTATCAAATCTGTGCTCTTTTACATCCATTTGGGAAAGACTTTAGGGAAAATATCCTAGGCGACTCACTTGGAGTACTTTGGCTCAGGGCGAAAGTATTTCAAGACATAGCCTGACAATAAGCTAAGTGTATTCCGGGAGCCCAGGGCACCAACTATGCAGCCTTCACTATCCAAATCCCTCTCTTGTCTGCTCCCTTTTCCTGACTGTTGTCCAATCACAGGGTGGAGGGAGCATGCTGGGAAGGGCGTGACCGAGAACTAGCACTAAGGAGCCACGTGTTCGGTGACATTTCTCCCAAGGGGAACAGAAAGTCTTTTGTGAAAGCTTCTCACCAGAATCAAGGTCCAGTTGGAACTGGCGTCATAACCCCCCCCCCCCCCCCCCGAATCCCCCGATTTGGCATTATATCCAAGCGAGCTCCTATTGTTCTCTTGTCAATGCCCTTCAACTATGAGAGCCTAGCATGGTGGCTGTGCCCTTTCCTTAAGCTGTAGTTCACAGTCAGCATTCTTCACTTGAAATGCATAAAGTGTTCATGAACCTACTGAAACGGTATTCAACATTGTGTTTATGTGTTCCTCTTTCTGAGAGAGGTCACAATTTTCATCATATTCACAAAGGTCAACAACCTCCCCCACCCCTGTCCCTACCCCAAATGAGTATAATGAAATTATAAGTGAGTTCTTTTTGTGTTGCCAGTTTCTTTACCATGTGACATGTAGCATTGGCTTGGGGTAAAGGTCAGAAGCCACAACTGAGGAGATCTTTTCTCATTAGCCTAAAAGAGATCTGTTCTTTGGTCAGAAGGATATTGTTCACCTCATAGTTTAAAAGCACAAGACCTTGAGATCTTGGCATATCGCTGATTGATTCTTTTATTTGCTAAATATTTATTGACAATCCGCTATGTGTTAGGCATGATGCCAAGCACACCAATCAGGAAGAGACAGCAATTGCCCTGCTGGACATTACAGCCTGCTAAGTGAGGAAGAGAGAGAGAGATGGGCAGAGATAGAGATAGAATATATTTTCCGGAATAGCATCTTCAAATAGAGCATATTTGTTTTCACAGTTAATTAATAACCTGTCTTCCTTAGCGTGTGGTCTCTCCTGGAGGTTAACAATATAATCATCTCCTAGTGCTCCTTCACTTTGGGTAGAAGCTGGTCTGCGCTCATAAGTTTTTATCTTAAATAGGCTATGAAAGTCTATACTTTCTCCAAGGAAATGGCCAGACTTCCACCTCAGCCATTCATCATCCTCTTCTGAGATGTCTACCAATCACACTCCGATTTATAATGGGAGTGGCACTTGGAGGTTATTGAGATGCTTTTTAATGTCTGTTTTGTTGTTGTTTGAAATCAACTAAGGGTGTTAGATAGACAGCCAGTTCTATAGTCGGTATTGACCACCGAGGGTGGCAGCATTATCTAGTTGCTTTGAAGTCACCAGGCTAAGCTGGGTTTAAAACTGAGTCGAACTCTCAACTAGTCAGGATTGTTATAGAAAGAGAAGGAAATGCAGACCCTGGGCTTGTCTCTCAGGAGAGCCTGTGCCTCTGCAGGCCTGCGAAGATGCCTCTGAGAGAAGCTCGGGTCTCCAGCACTGCCTCAGGTCCACGCTCTGACCATAGGACCAGACTGGATCTCCATGCACCTTACCATTTGTCTGCCATGGTTAAAGGTGGCTCCCGTCTCACACACCACAGGGACTGGGTCGTGGCCTGTTTCTGTGAAAGATGGAGAGGCACCAGCAGGCCTGCTCAGGCAGCAACCTTGCACAGGGAGATACTTGCACAGAAGTAGCAGGCAGCAGCTTGTTTGCCTGCCTACTAGTATGTCCCATCTGTTCTTAGAATGCCTTTCTTTAGGATGGAGTCTTCTGTTGTTACTGTGGTTGGATTTATATGGAATCATTTCCAGTCTTTTTTTTTTTTTAATTAAAAAAGTAAGTTTTTCCATTTTGCTGAGCTGTACTTTCTCTAACAAACAAGTATTGCTTCTATAAAAAGAAAAAAACCCAAAACACCCTATGGTGTTATCCACCAGTGATAACATTAACACTCTGCAATAGACTTATCTATTCCCTATCCTATATAATGAAGAGGTAATAAGCAAATTGACCCTCATGCCCTCACACAAGATGGCCGCCCTCATGTGGTCAAAGATGGCCGGCGGGGTGGGGAGGATTTGTGGGAGATAAGGCCAGCAGGGGAGGGCAGTTGGGGGTGATCTGGTTTGCAGGGGAGGGCAGTTGGGAGCAGTTAGACCATCAGGGGAGCAGTTAGGCGTCGATAGGCTGGCAAGGGAGTGGTTAGGGCAGGGGTCAGCAAACTCATTAGTCAGCAAAGCCAAATATTAACAGTACAACAATTGAAATTTCTTTTGAGAGCCAAAAACCAACTTCTGTGCATGGGCCACAAAGTTTTAATCGCACTGTAAGTGTGCGCCCACAGGTGGTATTTTGTGGAAGAGCCACACTCAAGGGGCCAAAGAGCTGCACGTGGCTCACGAGCCAGTTTGCTGATCCCTTGGTTAGGAGGTGATCAGGCTGGCAGGCAGGAGAGCGATTGGGAACCAGCAGTCCCAGATTGTGAAAGGGATGTTCAAATGCCAGTCAGACATCCAATGAGGGGTCCCAGATTGGAGAAGTTGCAGGCTGAGTTGAGGGACACACACACCCCTGCCCCAGTATACAAATTTCATGCACTGGGCCTCTAGTGCATATATAAAAATAGATATTTCACAGGTTCTTTCATAATCTGCTTTTCCACTTAACTAGCATGAAGAATACCTTCCTTATCAAGAATTATATCTCTGTAAGATTATGATTCATGATTGAAATGTCTGGATTTATTCTACCTACCGTATTTTTCGGACCATAAGACGCACTTTTCCCCCCCCAGAAGTGGGGGGGAAAAAGTCCCTGCGTCTTATGGTCCAAATATAGCCTACACATATACTTTAAAAAAAAAGTTTTTTTACTTGCCCGGCTCTGTGTGGTCTCTGTGTGCTTGCCCAGCTCTAAAATGGTTCTAATTGCTGCTGTTTACTTTACAGGGTTGATTACATGTGTTTATGACTGTGATGTTGGGTTTTAATGCACATAAAATATTTTAGGACACTATTTGTTTCAGAATCTTTTTTTCTTCATTTCCCTTCTCTAAAAACTGGTGCGTCTTATGGTCCGGAGCGTCTTATGGTCCGAAAAATACGATATACTAGACATAAATTATTTCCACCTTTTCATTCTTACCCACACCGTGACACACATCCATGTGGATGACTTTAGGTTTACACTTAATTATTTCTCCCCAAAAATTCCCAGAGGGGAAACTTCTGGGCCAAAGGGCATGGTTGTTTTTTGTTTTAATAAATTCTTTTTTATAGGATAGGTTAAAGTTTATAGAAAAATTACAAAGATAATACAGAAGGTTCTAATACCCACTTTCCTCTGTTATGTTAGTATAGAACATTTGTGGTATATTAGTATTAATTGAATTTTATGTTTTATTAAGATTTCCTTAGTTTTTCTCCGGTGTCCTTTTTCTGTTCCAGATGTCACTCAGAAACCATACTACTTACAGTCATCAGGGGTCCTAAGGTTCCTCTTGGTTGTGATGAGTTTTCAGACTTTCTTGGTTTTGATTACAGTGACAGTTTTGAGGATATCTCTCAGGTATTT